CTTTAATTAGATGATGGCACAAGTAGAAGCACATGAGATGAGAAAGAAACTGAGGTGAGACTATATAGGGCTTTAACCTTCACAATGAGACACTTCTACAAAGCTCTACTGCAGACTTGAGCAGAGCCATCATCTAAACGGAAGCCCTGCTTTACACAGGTCACCTGAAGTCAGGCTTCAGATACCTGCCTCTTATTATTTATTCTTTGCCATCTCTTCAGAATTCCTCAAGTACTCCAGTTGTTCTATAGACTACGTGTCAGGAAAAGGAGCAGAAGCAGAGGTGGGGCTCAACAGGACAGGTTCATTGCAGAACAAGCCTGAAAGGGACCGGTCTGGCCATAGACACCAGGCCAGCTGCTCTGGTCCCGGTCATGGGGTCTTCTGTAGGGTCCCGGGGAGGAAGAGTTCAGTAAGAAGGGGTTGTGGCTCCTGCCAGGGTCAAGGCTGGAGAGAGCATGAGCCAGCAGGACAAAGTTGCCCAGGGATGAGGCTTGGGGAAGCTCGGGGGAGCAGAGGCTACTGTCAGTAGCAGGACTGAGTGTTCTGAGTCCCCAGGCTCAGCTGTGCTGGAGAGGGCGTTTTAGAGGGGTCTCTGACAAGGATGGTGGCGGTCTAATTCCTTCACTATGAAATGAAGAATGTACTCTTCAGGGTGAGCGATGAAGGAGTCTTAGGGTGATTCTGGAATATCTGCGTGGTAATAATAGGAAGTCTGTTGGGAAAGTGATGGAGGTTCTGCAGGGGAAATGGAGTTAGTGGGTGAATGACAGGTGGTCTGAAGGATATGTGAGGGGCGGTATGGGGTGACTGATGGCATCTGTAGTGAGTGACGTGTACACCGTGACTGGGGGAGCAGTATGGATTGAGAGATGGTAAGTAGGGTGATAAGGGATCATCTGTGGAGTGAGAGATGGACTCAGGGGTAAACGATGTGAGTGATGGGTTCTGCAAGGTGAGTTGTGGGGTGTCTATAGGATTGACTATGGGGGAATCTGTAGGATGTATGATCCATGGGCCTGTGAGCTCAGGGATGGAGTATGAGTGATGAGGTGGTTTAGGGAGTGAGTGAATTATGGAGTTTTCAGGGCAAGTGAAGAAGAATTTGATGGTGAGTGGTAGGGTCCTGAGGGGTGAATGATAAAGTCTAGGGTGAGTGATGGATGCCTGTGTGGTTAGCTATGGGTATGTAGCGTGACTGATGCAGATGGTCCTTAAGAGTCAGTTATAGGGGGCTGGGGGTTTAGCTCAGCAGCATAAGCACCTGCCTTGCAAGCAGGCAGTCATGAGTTTGATCCCCGGTACCGATAAAAATGAAAAAGACAAAAACAAAAATAAAAACTAGTCAGTTATAGGTTATCTGTGGGACAATTTAGGAGTCAAGAGGCTTTATGATGTGTGTGTATGGGAGGTAGGTGGGTGTATGTGATGTGAGTGTTGGGAACTCTGAAATATGTCTCATATGTGAATGATATAGTCAATGGTTTGAGCCATGGAGAATGTTATAGAACTAACAAAAATGTGTATATTGAAGCATTAACCTCCATAAAACGAGGTCTTTAAGGGTAATTAAGATTAAACGGTTGGGGCTGGGGATTTAGCTCAGTGGCATAAGTGCCTGCCTTGCAAGTGCACGGTCGTGAGTTTGATCTCCGGTAACAATAAAAAAAATTAAATGGTGTCCTAATGGTTGGACACTAATCCAATAAGACTAGTGCTTTTATAAGGGAAAGCAATTCCAGGGGTATACAGCACAAAGAAAAGGAAAGGCTGTGTGAGCGCACAGGGAGAAGGTGACCATCAACAAGGCAAGGGGAAAGACCCTGGGAGAAACAAACCTGCTGGCACCTTCATCGTGTACCGTCTAGTCTCTAGCACTGAGAGAAAATACATTTATGTTAAGCCACCTGGTCTCTGGCATTTTGTTGTGGAAACCTGGACTGGAAGACCAGGCATGCTGAGGGTCTGGGAGTCACTGATGGGACATCTGTTAGATGTGATCAGAGGACTATAAACTAAGTGCTGGACATGGTAGCACATGCCTGTGATCCCAGTACTCAGGAGACTGAGACAGAAGGATTTTGAGGCCAGCCTGAAATACATAGCAAAACACTGTCTCAGAAAACATAAAAAAAACCCTACAAACCCCAAAACAAACAAAAACAAATTAAAAGCCCCACCTAAATAAACGGTCACTTGCTTGCTTTTGTTGTCTTCTGCTGCCATGAACTGTTTTTCCTCTGAGATCCCTTTCTGCAAACCCTGCCTTGGACCCAGCTGATTATAGACTTAAACTTCTACAAATTGTGAGCTAAATAACCTTTCTCCTTTTAACTTTGGGCACCCAGGTATTTTGTCTCAACAAGAGAAAAGTGACTATACCTGATGATGTGGTTCAAAACCCTTTGGAAATGGCTTGTGAGAAGAGATTTGAAAGTTTTGGAAATATAAGCTGAAAAAGTAGAGCTGAAATGCCTTAGGCTGTACTTGATGGAATATTCTGGCCAGAGTTCAGAAGACCAGAAGGCTGACAGAAATCCTGCCAGTAAAAACTAGGCTTAGGGTGGGGGCGGGGGCGGGGTTCTGCTGATAAGAAGGACTGCATTGTAGTTGGACTTTAGATAATATGTATTGTGGCTTGGCAGAAATTTTGTCTGCTTTTTACTCAAGTCCAGAGACTTTGCCCGAGACTGAGGTTATGGACAGCAAACTAATCTGGCAGAAAAAAAATTTCAAAGCAATCTAATATTGAGGCAGTGGCATGGCTACTGTTGGCAGATTTTAGTAAGATTTATGTTGAGAATCAAGAGCAAAAAGCCTAGCAGAATGATTAGATAGAGCAGAGGATATCTTGATTCCTGAGAATGACAAAGAGACGAGAAAAGATGGCCTGAGGGCATCACAAGAAGCAGCATGACTCCCCTCTTTGCCACCTCAAAATTACAAAAGTAAAAGACTTTGGGTTGAGAAGAGAGCAACATGTTCCAGAATGGAGGTGGCCTAAGAAAGTTTTTCCTAAGGATTTGGTTCATAGGCACTCAACCCCTACAGCCAAGAGAGAAGGAAGCGTGGCCACTGTTTCAGTTGGCAGCAGACCTTGGCATCATCCATGTGGTGCTAGTTTTAGAAGCATGCACAATGCAAGAGTTGTGGGGCCAGGAAGGCTTCAACCCAGATTTCAGAAGAAGCCTGGAACTAGGCATGATGGTACACACCTATAATCCCAGCACTTGGGAGGCTGAGCTCAAAGCCAGCCTGAACTGTATACTGAGACCCTGTCTCAAAAAAAGGCCCTGGAGTCCAGGCAATGTTAGTGCAAAGCTGAAGGTATAGTAGAGACCACAGAAGGTTTGAGAAGCCTGAAAAGTGGGTTGTTCAAGAAAAGCTGCAAAGAATGAGCAAAGCCAGCCAAAGTAAGAAGCTATGGGAGCTACAACTACTGGCAGTGCTGTAGGAGCAATGCCACCCAAACCCTTTGGAGTTCACATTTGCCACAGATTGCCAGGATGCTGGAAGTGGATCTGCTGAAGTTTGTACTGTGCATAAGTACAGTATTATTCTTCCAGATAAAGGCAATGATTCCAAAGCAGGGTTGTCTCCTCTCCAGCTCTGGAAAGTCCCAGTGGGCTCAGAAGTTGGTGCCTGCTCACTGACGGGCCCAGAGGACAGAGCATCAGCTGGAGAGGATGAGCCACATGACTTCCATTCAAATAGAATTTCCTCATTAGATCTGGGACTTATGTGAGACCTGAGATCCCTTTTTCATTGTGATTTATCCTTTGTGGAATAGGAATTTTTTTTTTATATTGGGGATCAAACTCATGACCATGCACTTGCCAAGCAGGTGCTTGTGCCACTGAGCTAAACCCCCAGCCCAGGAATATAATTTTTGAAATTCTACTTTATTAGTGCATGTTTAGGTTATATGATGATGAGGTTTATTTGGGGATGCTGGCTCAAGCTTTTAACATATCTTAATGAATTTCAATTCTCTTGCCTATAAGGACTATGCATCTTATGCCTCTTGAACCACTGTATTTTGCAAGCAAAAAACTGATCTGGTTTCACAGGTTCATAGCTATAGAGGAGTTTTGCCTCAAGATGAATTGTACACCTGGTTTCAGCCATGGTTTGTTTATTTATGAGACAGCCTTGCTGGGTAGTTCATGCTGGCCTCAAAATCCTCCTGCTGCATCCTCCCGAGTGTTGGGATCACAAGCATGCACCAAGTCACATTTCATTTAGATGATATTTAGATGAGACTTGAGATTTAAAGTTAATGAGGGGGTTGGGGTAGGGGTCAGTGGTAGAATACTTGCCTAGTATATGCAGGGTCCTGGATTCACCCCACACCCAGCACCATAAAAACATTCCCAAATGGGAGAAATGTTTTGAGCTATTGATATGGAGGTGAATGTAATTTGATTCAGGAAAGACATAAATTTGCAGAGGTCAGACAGCAGAATTTCCATGTTGAAACCTTGTCCCCCAGGAATTTAGAATGTGACTACATTTGGAGTCTGGGCTCTAATCCAATCTGATTGATATTCTCATAGGTAATCTGTACACCCCTCATGAAGCCAGGGGCCTAAAGGCACAGAGAAAAAAAAAAAAACAAGCAAAAACAGAGGCCAAGGAGAGAAGCTTCAGAAAAAAGCAAAGTTGCTCATGCTGTGACTAGCTCCAGAACCAAGAAAATCAATTTCTGTCATTTAAGCCACTCACTGAGTAGCATCTTACTGTGACAGCCTGAGCTAATACAGGTCTATGGTGTGAGGGACTAGGTGGCATTGAAGGGGAAGTCCTTACGGTGAGTGACAGGATGTGTATGTAGGGTGACTGATTAGGAGCATGTGGAATCAGGTTGGGGGCTCATGAGGTCAGAGCTAGCAGGTGTGTGTAATGATGGGGGTCTGTGAATGCACGAGTGATGGAGAGGCATGGAGGGTTAGTAATTAAAGATCTTTCAGTGTTAGAGTTAAGGTCTTTTATTTTATTTTCTGATTTTAACAATTGCCACCAGCACAGACCTGGCTTCTCTTGTATTTTTTTCTCAGTGGCTCTTAGCAGTAGCACTTTTTTTCCTGTCTCAGGCCATTTTCATGCCCACCATCAGCCCGAGTGCCTCTCCACTTGGTGGAGCAGGACAAGATTTTCCTGGCGATGGGAGCACCTCTCAGCTGCAATTCTGGTCCAGTCCACCCTTCATTAGTTCTATTTGCCCTTGCTTTTCATCACCTTGGTGTCCAATGCATTCTGGGCCCCATAGAACTGCTTCACGGAATCAAAAAAGAGGACTCCGGGTATCACCAGCCATAGTACATTCATGAAGAAAAAATAAAACCAGAAATAGATGGGGTGACCCATCTCCCCATGCTGGAATCCATCTCGGTACTCTGTCAGGAAGTAGAGTAAATCCCCATAGATCTGGCCTGTGATGGGCAGAAAAGGGAGAAGCTCCTGTGAGGAGGAGATGCTAACCCAGACCTCCTACTACTCTGAGGCATTCCCAGTCATCTTGCAAGGTCCCATACTTGAAGAACCAAGAACTCTGAACTCACAGGGCTGAAAATCTGAGAAATCAAACAAGTAAAGATTCCAGAAAACACAACACTAACAATTTCTGAACTCAAGAGAGCTCATAGCTCCAGAGTTCTGTGTTCAGTTCTGTCTCAGTCTCCTGCATGCTAGGACTATGAGCATGCACCGCCATGCACAGCAAGAACTGAAGCAACTTAATAAAATCTTAGAAGTTGAGACAGCTTGGCATTCTAGAACTAAAGAGAAGACACAGATCCAGAACTAGAGAAATCTAACAATTTAAAAACATAAAGACTGAATCTCAGATAAAGGGGTTGAGAACGCAGGTCCCAGAGGATCTGGGAGCTCCCTGCTAGTGTGGCCACCTAGTGCAACCTTCACAAGGGACTCTGTGATAAAAGCAAATGGAGAAATGAACCCTCCCCACTTGAGTGACAGGCTTAGAGGGGGCATGGCTGTCTCCGAACTTCTGGGGTGCTGTCATTCTAGTTCACCCTTGGATGGACACCACTGAGACATGCCCCACCCCCAGCCAGGGAAACATCAGCTCTAGTGCCAATGAAGGTCCTCTCCTTACCCAAAGAGATCACAAACTGAAGGACATAGCGGGAGGGATGTTGGCGGAGAAAGGCTATCACTGCCCACAGGCTCAGTGGTCCCCACAGGACAACCGTGATGCTCTCCATACAGATGATGAAGTTGTCTTCACTACAGAAGGGAGGGAAGGACACTGGTGTCAGTGTGCTTCGCCCACACTGTGCCCCACTGCATTTCCCAACTCCCCACTACCCCAGACCAACGTAGGTGACACTTACATGATATACCGGCTGTCTCCCTTAGCGTACTCTTTCCCTGAAGAGAATAAACAATAAAGGTGGGAAGATAAAAAGGACCAGGGGGCTGCGGCAGCCCGAGGGAGAACCACCAGGGTCTCCTGAGATCTGCGCCATGTTGGAACTTTAGGACCCTGGGAAACCAAGCAAGCAACTCACCTCCCTGGTAAGCGGCTGTGGTGTGCAGGCTGCAGCTGCCCCAGGGGGAGAACCACCAGTGTCTCCTGAGATCCGCACAACGCGGGAAACCAAGCAATCAGCTTGATAGTGGGCCTATCGGTGCATAGGCTTAGAGTCAAACATCCCACTTCCCCTGCTCCCCTTTAGCAAATGGGAACCAGAGATCTGAGGCATCTTTTGGGAGGTTGACCATATGCAATATAGCAAATAAGGGGGATTTCCTTTTACCATCTTTTTGAAGGCAAATATTTTTACTAATGTTTTGCTTTATTCTTATTTGTTCATTTTTTTTTATCGGTTCCAAGGATGGAACTCATGATCACCTGCTTGCAAGGCAGGTGCTTATGCCACTGAGCTAAATCTCCAGCCCCTGCTTCATTCTGATTAATGGTACTGTTCTATTCAATACTCTGTTTTGGTAAGTTCTATAATGTTCTGTACTTCATTTTATTTTGCTATATGTGATTGAAAGAACAACTATTGTGATGATAATAGGATATAGTGTGATACCTATTGCTGTTATCCCGGCAACCTGCTGTGAAGTTGTGTACCAATTTCACTACACTGTCTCCAGGGATGTAGCTCAGTGTGAAGGGCTTGGGTTTAAGCCCCAGTAATGCAAAAAACAAACAAAAAAAAAAGAGGCAGCAGACTTAAGTAAGTTCTTCACACACAAACCCAAAGGATTTCTAAATGGTCAATTAAGGTAGGAATGGTGCTCAAACTTTCAATATTCAGTAAGGAAAAAGTAAACTAAAGCCAAAGAAGAGTTGTCACTCACATTCACTAGAATGACTGAAGTTTAGGAAACACCTGAGCACACTGAGCATTGGGAAGGGTGCAGAGGAACTAGAACTCTCCTATTCTGCTGGCAAGAATGGAATATGGGAAACCATTTTTTTTTTTAGCTTTTTGAGACAAGGTCTCACTATGGAGTTCAGGCTGATCTTGAGCTCACTTTGTAGCCCAGGCTGGTCTTGAACTTGCTATGATCCTCCCACCTCAGCCTCCTGAGTGCTGGAATTACACACATGTACCACCAAAAACTATTATTTTGAAAAAGAGTTATGTTTTTGTTTTTTTCTTTGGTGCTTGAAACATAAAGCAGGGCCTTACTCAATGCTGGGCACCCATTCTGCTGAGCTATACCCCAACCCCTGGTAGTTTTTCATAAAGTTATATATGCACCTAAGTTGGCTATTCTTTACATATTGATCCAAGAGACATGAAAGGAGAGATTAACAGAGAGACATGTATTAGACTGTTCACAGCAGCTTTATTCATGAGGCCAAAAGGGAGTATTGTCAAGACAGCAGAAAACTGCCTTTCAGTACTATAGGAGTCAAGAATTTTATGGCACCTATGCTTTCTAAGCTCTTTATGAAACAAGGAATGACCTCATGTAAAAAAGCAAAATTCAGAAACATATAGCATGTTAACATTTATGTAAAACAGGAAAAAAGTAAACAATTACATGGCACTTGGGAGGCTGAGGTGGGAAGACTGCTGTAAGTTTAAAGCCAGCCTGAACTGCATAGCAAGACACTATCTCAAAAACAAAACAAAACACAACTACATGGCATCTGCTGCTTGTCACTGTTTTTAAGTACCTTATATATATTTGAACATTTACTATGATCTGCCCCTTTCATCTGTGGTACTAAGAATGGAACCTAGGTCCTCATATGCCAGGAAAGTGCCATATCACAAAGCTAAATCCCCAGTCATTTTTATTTTTATTATTTTTACTATTTACTTATTTAGTGGTACTGAGGATTGAACCCAGGGCCTTTGCACTGAGCTAGCTACATCCCCAACACTTTTTTAAAATTTTGAGACAGAGGCTCACTAAATTGATCAAGCTGGCGTTGAATTTGAGATCCTCCCAGATCAGCCAAATAGCTGGGATTACAGTGAATGCTACCCTGTGTGGTTTTATTATCTGCCTTTTAAAACTATGAAAAAAAAAACCTTCTGAATGTGGTGGCATGTACCTGTATCCAAGCACTAGGGAGGCTGATAGTATGAGGCCAGCCAAGACTACCTAGTGAGTTGAAGGCCATCCTGAACAAAATTAACATTTGTCAATAGTTTTGAAGGCTGGGCATGGTAGCACACACCTGCAATACCAACTCTTAGGAGGATGAGGCAGGAGGATCACTGTGTGTTCAAGGCTATCCTGTACTATATAGTGAGTCTCTATGTAAAAAAAAAAAGTTTTGGGGGCAATTTTATAGATAAAAGGCAGACTTTAATTACATATATCTTTAAATGTTTCTTTTTTTGAGACAGGGTCTCACTACATAGTTCAGGTTGGCCTTGAACTCACAGCTATCCTCTTGCCTCTACCTCCTGAGCACTGGGATTACAGGCATGCACCATCATACCCAGCTTAAACATTTTTTTCACCCATGTGAATACAGATGCAAAAGGTTACATAATTTTTTTATACCAGGGATCAAACTCACTACCTTGAGCTTGCCAGGCAGGTGCTTGTGCTGCTGAGCTAAACCCCCAGCCCCAGTTATATCAATTTTTAAAACAGATGAATGAAAGAATTGATGGGTAGGTAAAATCTAAGCCAACCTATGCCCAGAAATACTCTTCCCCCCCAGCACAAAAACCCAGGACTCACAGAGTTGGGATAAGAAGGCTTGGTCTCCAAGAATGGCCTTCTGGTAGAGAACGAACCAGCCCTCAATCACCAGGTGGACGAATGCACACACTGCAAACCAGCATACAGACAGTCGCCGCCATGTCCCCAGTGGGACAACTGAAGCACGACTGGACAACAGCCACATGGTCACGACTAGTGCCCCAAAGACAGTGAACAGGACAGTCACAATATACCAGGCAGAAAGGTCGTTTGGCACAAAGTGATCCAGCCGCAGGTGCCTAGGCCAATACGGGTGCAAGGGGCCTGTGCTGGTAGTGGCCATGTCTCTATGGGCTGATGACTGCACGTGAACAGAGAGGAGAAAAAAAGGAACTGAAAAACCTAGACAAATAGAAAGCAGAGAGAGATAATTACTATGAATAATAAAACAGTTTACCAGTTAACAGACTGACTATAAAACACGGACTCTCTACATTACTTAGGCTGGGCTTGAACTGGTGATCTTCCTGCCTCAGATTCCCAGATTGCTGGGATTACAGAAGTGTGCTACCAAAAAAAAAAAAAAAAAAAAAAAAGAAAAAAAAAAGAAGTGTGCTACCAAATCCATCTTGGATTAAAAATAATCCCTGCCAGGCATGGTGGTGCAGGCCTGTGATCTGAGCACTGAGGCTGAGGCAGAAAGTTCCCCCCCAGTACCAGGCTGGCCTGGGATACCAAATGAATTCATGGCAAACCTAAACTACACAGTGAGACTCTCATAAAACTCAAACGATGATGACAACAATTTAATCTTAAAAATACAGAAAAAAATTAATCTAGTTGCATGCTGTTAGAAACATGACTAAAATACAAGGCCCCAGAAAGACTGAGTTTGTCCCAAGCCTCTGGTAGCGGTAATAACAGGAAACAGACTTGAGTTCAGCCTTTCCTAATCACAATCTACCGAGATACACACAGGCACCCAGCCTGGTCCCAGTCCTCACTGTTTTAACAGTGTGGTAGGAAAGTCAACTGTCACTAAGCCAGGTTCCGGCTCTCATGCTGGCTCAGTTTGGTGGCAAGATACAGGAACCAGGTCTAGGTATGCTGTAGAGGCCAGTGTCTTGCACAACTCAACGCAAAGCACTCAGAAGGCTGAGGCTGGAGGTTCGTAGGAAGATTACTGCGAGTTCGAGTCCAGCCCAGACTACGTAATGAGTTCCAGGCCAATCTGGATTACATAGCGAGACCTTGTCTCAAAATAAATAAATAAATAAATAAACAACAACAAAAAAACTAGTTCAACAGAAAGCTATTATTCCTTCTCCTGGGGTCTTGGTAACCGCTGTGGATCTGATAAGATACTAGCCTAAGCTCCACCCCAGCGTTCAGAAAGCAGACAGACCCCGCGACAGCGCATAACGCCACGGAGCTGTGCGAAGAGCGGGAAAGGCTAGAGTCTCGCGGGCAGCCAGGAGCCCACCAATCAGAGCCAGGACCCGCCAGAGCCCTGTCAGGCGAAGACAGCGGGTCTCCGGTTTCCTGGACAACCGCGCGGAGCTAGGAGCTCCCGGCGGCAGGCTGAGGGCAGGCTGCTGGACATGGAACGCGAACTGCATGAGGAACTCACCCGAGCCGTACTACTGCAGTAGGCTTTCCGCGAGAGTTCCGGATGCCGCGGGTGGCTCTCTGCAGCACTCCTCCCACGCTTAATAGAACAGACCAGTGGGCAGGTGGGAGGGCACTGCCCCCCAGCCAATAGGAGCTCTTTGTGTACCTACTCTCCCCTGGCGCCTTTTCCGTGGTTGGTTAAGACCCAGTCAGGCGCAGGCTGGTGGGCGGTTTTTAGAGCGCATGGCCTTCCTTGATTTCCTGAAACCTAATCCACCCCAGCGGGGCATAATTAAGCTGCACTTTCTTAGTGTTTTCTGTTGAAGCGGCGTTGCGTTGCTCTCTCACCTGTGCTGTGATTTTTCTAGGGAACCGATTGATCAGTTGGGAGACCACCCTAACGCGAGGAAACTATAACACGACAGGCAGATCACCAGCGGCATACTGCAAAAACCAGGCCCCGCCCCATGCATCTAAACCCTTCAGTGCTCAGAACTACCCAGTCCTTAGAGCTGCGGTCACTCTCACCTCTCCGGGCTTCAAGTCAGAAGAATCAATCAGAACCCAGCCCTCTCAGTCCTCCAGGCCAGTTGGCATGGAGACCCTCAACTATGCCAGTTTTAAAGAGCCAGGCAGAAAGGCAGAACGCTAAACCAGTGAACACCTAGGCCGGGCACTCAATCAAAACCCAGACCCATCCCATTAGAACCCACAGCCCTTAGTCCTGAGGCCCAAGAAGCACCAATTTGCCCTCTTTCTTGCTTTTCCTCTTAGCTCAGTCAGAGCAACCAAGCAGGATAGGGATCCTTAGGTTTTCTGGTCAATTAGCACCTGCACCTCCCTTCCCCCTCCCATCAGCCACTTGGTCTCTTCCTGCTCCAATCTAATCAGGACCAGAACCCGGGCTTCTGCAGATTCATCATTCAATCACAAACCATAAATCAACCGCACAGCAGTCACAATCTGCTTCCTCATGATGGTTTCTTTTCCAAAGTTTTTAACCTTGCAGTACCCCTTTCCTCACTCCTATTCCCCTCTGAGCAGTGAAGAAAGAGCCAGTACTATATTTCTACTTTTATTTGACAATAATAAACTATACAAAAAGGAGGAAGACACGAAGGGAGGCCCTGGATCTCTCTTTCTCTGTTTTCCAAGTATCCCCACCCCTAGGGCCATGCGGGGATCATCTTTTCCAGCCTTGTAGGTGGGAAATGACAGGCATGGGAGTGCTTGCTCTGTGTGTGTAGGGCTGTTAGGGGTCAAGAATGGAGGGTGTGAGGGAGTAAAGGGCTTTCCCACATTCCCCATCAGAGCTGGCACCCTGATGAAAGTTCTTGAGGGTTACAAGGGCGCCTAAGGGTTATCCGATGAGACGATAGCAGATCCAGCATCCAAAAGTGACCCAGTGACTGGCCCAGCTGAGCTCGGACCACTTGTGGACAGTGTATGCCATGCCATAGCCCTGTGGGAGAAGAAGAGGGGATGGTTCCACTCAGCAAGGTCAAACAGGGTCTCAGCAAAACCCAGCTTATGCCCAAGGGCATTTCTGTAACTTCATGGTAACCTAGGGGATAAAAGGCCCCAGGACATGTGAAAGGTGACCAAATAGTTTTCATTTTCTTCTTTAAAAATCATTTTAGTCCAGTGTGGTGGCATATGCCTATAATCCCAGCACTTAGTAGTGGGAAGCAGGAGGATCGCTGCCAGTCCGAGGCCAGCTTAAACTGCATAATGAGACCCTGTCTCAAAAAAATCATTTTAAAGGGGATATGGATGTAGCTTGGCAGTACCGCCTACCATGCATGAGGCCCTGGGTTCCATCTCTAGCACTGCCAAAAGCAATCACTTTTAAGGGGCTGAGGGTATAGTTTAGTGGTAGTGTGTGTTTAGAATTTGTGGGGCCTTGAGTTTGATTTCCAGCACTGCCAAAAAAAAGTCATTTTAAACAAGAAAATGCAAGCCTACTTTCTGACCTGTAACCTCTCTTGTATACAAAGAGCTACTAGAAATCAATCTTTTGTAAAAGCCAAACACATCATCAAATGAGGCGAGTAAGCCACCTTAGTAAAGGAAAATCAAATGGCTTTTTTTGTTTTTTGAGACAGAGTTTCACTGTGCATTGCAGGCTTGCCTTGAACTCACAGTAATGCTCCTGCCTCAGCTTCCTGAGTGTTTGTAATGGCTCTTAAGTAAGAACACATGCTCAACCTTACTCATACTCTGATGACTGGCAACCATATCCAAGAAGTCTGTGCTCACACACTGCTGGTGGGAGGGCAGAGAGTAATCTCTCCACTGCGATCATCAGGAGCAGACCCTGCAACTGCCCATGCTTGTGTGAAGTTACATATGTTCTGTGCAAGAGTTCCTGCTGCAGCTTCATTTGCTATAGGAAGGACTAGAGATTACCAAACATCCACCAGTCAATTAAAGTCTCACGTTTTCACAATGGAAAAATGAATGGGGACACTATATACTGATGTGGAAAATTTTTAGCAATTGTAGAACAGCCTTGTGTGTTACCTTTAGGTTAAAAACTTGGGGAGAGAATTAAAATATATCATTGTATTTGCTTTATATGGTCAAAATTCTGAAGGCTAGTCTTGGTTTTTGAAGGGTATATTTATAAAATGAGTAAGCTATTACTTATAAGAAGGCAAGGGATAGAGGATGAAAGTAAGATTTTTCTCTATGAATATCTTGATATCTTAAATATTGTTTTTTTGTTTTGTTTTCTTTTGGGGGTGGAAGGGCTCACTATATAGTTGAGGCTGACCTAAACTTGCCATGTATCCCGAGTTGGCCTTGAGCTTGTAGGGATCCTCCTGCCTCAGCCTCCAGAATGCTAGGATTACATGTGTGTATCACCACACCTGGCTTTCTTTTCTTTCTTTGTTGCTATTGTTGTTTTGTACCACTAGGGATGGAACCCAGGGCCTAGTACAAGCTAGGCAAGCACTCTACCACTGGGCTACACTAACCTCAGCAATAAAATATTTTAATAAAAATACAAAAAAAGAACTTTAAGAAGAACCCAAGCCCAGATTTTGTACTCAACCTAAATAAAAATTTAAATTGTTGAGTATTGTGTTTGTTTTTTTCAAATATTTTTTCTTAATGTTTATTATGATACAATATGGGCTCATTTATGTAGCCCACGCTAGCCTTGAATTCCAGACCCTCCTGTAGTAACCTCCCAAGTGCTAAGATCATAGGCATGGGCTACCATGTATGGCTACATTTTGTTTTTCCAGACTGGGTTTTCCTACATAGTTCAGGATGGTCTTGAATTCACTGTGTAGCCCAGGCTGGCCTCAAAGCCACGTGATCTTTTTGCTAGTTCAAGGCCAGCATGGGTTATATAGTGAGTTCAAGACCAGCCTGGGATATATAGTGTGATCCTGTCTCAAAAAAAGGAGGGGAGATAAAATCTGGAAATTGTGTACTTGACATAAACAAAAATAGTGTAGAAATGTAACATTTAAAAAAAAAAAAGAAAAGAAATGTAACATTTTAAAAAACTTTTTACTTTTTTTTCTTGGTACCAAGAATCCAACTTAGGACCTTGTGCTTGCCAATCAAGCAAGTGCTTGTGCAGATGAGCTATATCCCCAGTCCCATTTTATTTTTACTTTTGAGATAAGGTATTACTGTATTGCTTAGGCTGGCCTTTACCTCCCAAGACATTCTCTAGCTTCAGCCACCCTTGTAGCTGCAGCTATAGGTGCATGCTACCATTTAGAAAATTTAAAAATAAATTCTTCTTTTGCTGTTGTTTTTGATACAGGGTCTCAGTATGTAGGCCAGGCTGGTGTTAAACTCACTCTGTAGCCCAGGCTGGCTTTGAACTCACAGTGATTCTCCTGCCTCAGCCTCCTGAGTGCTGAGGTTTATGTGTGGGTGTCATGCCTGGTTAAATGTAAAATTTTTAAAAAGCAAAGTCAAGTTTTAACTGGACACAATGGTACATAGTTATAATCGCAGACAAATGGAAGGTTAAAACAAGAAAATATCTAGCTCATTTTGGGCAACTTAGTGATATCCTGTCTCAAAAACTAAAAAGGATTTAGGGGATAGCTCAGTGGTAGAGCATTTGCTTAGCATGTGTAAGGCTCTGGATTGAGTCCTCAGTACAGATGGGAAGTGAGAGAGGGAGGAAGGAATAGAGGAAAGAGAAAAATATAGCTTTCACAGTCAATCATATATATGTGTATTTATGTATTTTTTTCAGTACTAAGAACTTTATACTGGGCTACATATTCTGAGCTTTACTTACTGTAATTTTTATTTTATTCATTTATTTATTGTGGTACTGGAGAGTGAACCTAGAGCCCTCACATTGAGCTACATCCCCAGCCTTTTTTTTGTTTTTATTTTGTATTTTGAGACAAAATTCTTACTAGGTCCCTCAGTTACTGAGGCTGAACTCGAACTTGGAATCATTTGCCTAAGCTTCTCAAAAATGCTGGCTTTATAAGTGTGCACCATCATGTCTGGTAGTAAAATAAATTTTAAAAAAACAAATAAATAAAAGGGAGGATGACATAGGAGGATCACTGAGTTTGAGACCAGTTTGGGCTACATAATGAGTTCAAGGCCAGCCTGAACTAGAGACTCTGGTCTCAAAAAACAAAACAAAACAAGCAAACAAAAAAACAACATAAAAAGTAAAACTTGGGGCTGGGGATGCAGTCAGTGGCAGAGCAAGTAGTGGCATAGCATTTCCACTACTAACAAAAAGTAAATAAACAAAACAAATGAGCTGTGTGGAATAGCACACACATAATCCCAACACTCAGGAAGCTGACAGAGGAGAGTTGCTCTAAGTTTGAGGCCAGCTGGGACTACATAGTGAGTCTCAAAAAAACCCCCAACAAATTAAATAAATACAATTAAAAGGTAAACCTGGTTTTTTACATTGTCTTTATAAAGTGACTTTTTTGCTTGTTTAGGAGGATTGAACTCAGGACCTTCACATTGAACTCAGTCTCCACTGCTTTTTACTTATTTATTTTTTTGAAAATTTCTCACTAAGTCATTTAGTTGTCCAGACTGGGATC